TGTGTCGCCTAGTGCTTGCTCTTGGTGGGAATTGTTGGGCTTCTGTAAATAACTTCAGAGTAGGGTCTGACCTGCTCTGTTTGAAAAGTGCTGTGAGAAAACTGTTGTTGTGATGTGGCGCTGTATAAATAAAATTCAATTGAAAATTGAAGTAATGTGACTGTGGTTGTTTGTCTCTGTGTGGCCAGCTCCTCACCTCACTTTTCCAATCAAAGCCAGCAATGACCCCTGTAGTCGGTTTGATTGGGCTCGTGCAATCTCTCAAAGTCCAATATTTAACCCTATATATACACACGGTTTCTGAGAGCTTTTGCATGATTTAATGGTAAACACTTGGCTCAAAACCCTGTTGTGTTCAATCAGATATGCCTGAAAACAGCGGGCAGTAGACCACACAACAATTTTGACTTATCAGATGGAAATAAATGACTTAAATAAACCAAATAAACACTGGAGACCAAAGAACATCAACATTCAGGCTTTAAAAGGTCAAGTTAAGCTTTTGTTGAGTGAAATCTGCAGCTGAACTTTACAAAAATAAATAATTTATCTCTAACTGACAAACAACAACCCTGTGCTCTTAATTTAGCTCTCAAATAGCCCCTGTCTGCCCCCACTTACACACTTGTACTTACGATTTCTATGTTTCAATGGCCCATGTAATCTTCTCATAAAGCCACAGCTGAAGAGGCTTGAGTGGACCAACCTTTTTCTTGTTCTTGATTATCTAGCTTTAGTTTGACCTCATGGCTGACTCTTCAATCATTGCCTCCTCATTTTCTCGATTATTCAAGCTGGCATTCATGTGATCTGCACCTTTCTTCATCATAATGACTTTAAAAAATAATCTGAAAAGCTACTTTCTGTCTTATAATTTCTAAAAACAATGAAGGGCACAGCACTGGTTTCCTAAAATCACTTTGAACCTGCGATATACATTATTTATTTCCTATTTAGCAGACGTAAATCAGATTTATAATTCATGCAAATGTTTGAAGTTTGAGCGGTCGGTCTGCAGCCTTTTCAGTCCTATTTTTAACTCCCTTTTCTACTTCCCTGGTTTGCAATCTGTTGTTATTGCTGCTCCCTGTGTTCACCTTACTTCTGAGATGCTGCATTCATTCATACATTTACTGATTTTTAGGTAATTTCCTTTTTCATTTTTGATACTTCCCAAACCATGAAACTGTCCAGACGTTTATCACATCACTGGACTCTCCTCATCTCTTCTTTGCTCTCCCTCTGAGCTGATGATTTAAAAAAAAAAACTCCTTGGGAATACCATTTTTGGATTTTTATGGTTATTTCTATGTTTCTGAATGGTGAGATTTCTTTTAAAGATTTCAAATCTTTATTCCGAGAGTCAGACGCTTCATCACAATCTTTAGCATTCAATTATCTGTTTGATCTTGTGGTGTATTTATTCTTTGTAAGCTTGTTTGTCGCCTCCAAAACAATTCAAATCTTATCATGTAAATTTGTGTAAATTTCCCTCTTTACTTCGTCCTTCCCCAGGGACTCAGTCACTACTCTAACATGGCGTCTTCCTGTGGTTTAGCCTCCTCAGAATAAGCTTTTCTCTGCTAATGAATTTTAAACAGGCATTGGTCTTTTGTTGATTCTGTACCTGTTCTCATATCAATTCATGTGCCCCTGCCATCTTTTAAATGGGCTATTATTTCCATTTCTTTCAGCTACACTTCCATTTTTTCTCATTGCAGGTTCCCCCAAATGTGCTGTGACATTTAAATTCCAACAAATGACTTCTCATGAGTGTAGAAATGATCACACTGATGTTTATTTGCCCAGACTATAACTACTACATACTCTCTGCTCCATTTTCTAGACATTATTCCTTCTCTTTAAAAGAGTGCACATGCTCCTCTATCACACTCTGCTCTTTCTCTTCTTAAACTGAAATACAGAGCTGGTTTCAGTCTTTTTTTCCTGATAATGAATTATTCCTGGCATCCTTTTCAGAATTTTTATGAAAAGCATCAAACGTCCTTTGCTCTCAAACCGCAGACTTTTTCATTGGAATGTTATCTTGACATCCCCAGTATTGTAATTCTTTGAAACCTCTCAGCTCCCTCCATTATCACTACAGCTTTCTCTGATTCGTGTCGGGCTTCGTCTGCTCTCGAGCTCGTTGAACTCTCATTTTCTCTGTCCTCCCTTTGTCTCTCCGTCTAATTTCCCCACAGCGTCTGCTGGGGAGATCTTTAACTTGAACGTTGTGACATTTCTGTGACATTTTCTTCCTTCTTTTTGTCACCCAGTCGAGACCCCCTCCAAATAAAGCTTTTTTCTGGCTCATTTTTCATCGCTGACACAGTTTAGGTTTAGTTTTTTGGGGCATTTGGCCCACTGGGGGAGTTTAATAGTTTGACAGACTTCTTTAACCTTTTACCTCTTACTCGGTGACAGTCATTTTACTTTTCTAATGCCCTGATCGTACTTAAATATTAAAATTAATATTTGGATTACTTCCAGCCCACACACACACACACGCACACACACACAAACACACAATATTTCCCTGCATTATTTTCCACTTTGTTTGCTGTGTCCCCAAAACTCATAATTTCCTCGCCTATTTTGTCCCATTCCTCGTTCTCTCTCCCAGAAATCTCCCATCTAAACCTTGTTCGTCCTCTACCTGAGTCATGATCTCATTAATTCCTGTAGCAGCCCATTCTAACCACCAGATTTCAAAGGTCTGACAGTCTCCAACCACCTCCCACTCAGCTCCTGCATCGCGTTAGCCCGGATGCCGTCGTGTGAATGTGTTCTCTAGAATAAAGGTTGCACAATATGACAAAGAAACCGGCTCAGTCAGCTATTATTTCACCCTATCCTATTCTTTTCGCCCTATCCTCAGACACCTACACAACTTAGAGAATAAGACATTTGTTTTCCTGCCGTTGCCTCGTCATATAGATTTTTCTCTGATGCTGTTTTCCTGGTGCTGACTTTCTTCAGAAACATGAAATCACAGAATATGAAGTGCACACAATTGCTCTTGGACATGGCACTGAGTCTAAATTATGATTGTCATTACCTTTGGCTGGACGTTTCCTACTTCACTGACATATTCCAGCCATTTACAATGGTCCTTTTGTCACCTTTTGTTGAGCCACTCGGTCTACAGCAGCACGACCCACCACTTCAACCTCCGACATGTTCGGCTCGGTCTGTGAGCCCAGAAACCGTCGGCCGGAGTCAATTATGTCACAACAGTGACTTTAATGGGCCTTAATGACATTGTAGGAGGGGATGAAAAAAAAGAAAAAGCTCACGTGTCTATTTTTCTGACATCAGTGACAGTCAGTCCTGACGTTTGAGGATAACAGGATCACAGTGTTATTGCAAGCTGCAAAATGTACAAATGCAAAATGAGATTTAGCAAAACGCGTGCAAAGATTTGTGAGAAAAACGGCCCGCATCCTCTTCAGGAAGAGTTCCGCAGGTTTCTTGATGGACACGCAAAGCTCTTCCTAGGATTTTGCCTGTCAAGACGATCCAACATTGCTTAAACAATGATAGATGGGAGTACATAAATCATTTACTGATCCCAGAGGAGATGGATTGGACATTGATGTCCGGGCTCTGGGGAGGATTCTTCCCTCCATCAGAGCTGCTTCCACTGGTTTTCAGTCACTTCTTGAGTCCTTTGACAGAGCTCAGCCTTTTTATTCTTTGTTCCCTATCCTTCAGAATGGCTTCTTCACAGCCCCCCTTCCATGGAGAGCATTTCTGACGAGGCTTGGTCCAACAGGAGATGACCAGCTGAAGGTCCAGATGCATCTCTCAGCTCCTGGTTCAGGTCTTTGCTGGATGTGTTCCTCTTTCTTTAGGACATCACTTTCAGATCCTCTTCATTTGCTGGAGATAGTTTTTCAGGCCCAACTCTTAAAAACAGGGCATGCTGAGTTTTCACCTAACAGCCCTTTTTTTGCTGTTATCTGCAGGCACAGCTAATGAGTCAGAGGTAAGACTTCAATGCTTTGACAAATCTATCTATCTATCTATCTATCTATCTATCTATCTATCTATCTATC